AAAAAAAAAAAAAAAAAGCAAATAGGTACAGTACACTCTGTGCTGAAACTCTCACTTTTCACATCTGTAACCAGATTTAAAATTGTGTTCTTAATTTTGTTATCAGTATTTTTGGTGTCTATTTAAATATGTCATGTCTTCATGTACATACCCAACATTGATCAGTCACATCTTTGATATGGGTTTCAGTCTTAATCATGTGTTTGCTGAAAATTGAATAGGTTCAAAGTTGAACTTGAAAATGCTTTAAATTGCTTCTAAGTGGCATGTTTATCATTCACTGTTTAACTTGATATATTCAGCTACCTGTACTTGGGAGAGAGAGGGGAGATTTCAAAGAATGTTGATGATCAGGCAACCATCATCATCGCCTGTTTTCTGAAATGAGATCTTTGAGATTCAAAGAGGATTAGATTAAGTCCATTCAAAGAAATAGAAATTCAAAGTAGAATCATTATTGACATCATACATATGACAGTAGTTTTATATTTTTGGAAAAATATCCAGTAAACATGATGTTTTAAAACCCTGTATCTCATTTTTTGACAATCTGCTCACAATGTACTGTGAAAAATCATAAAAGAAAATACATAGTTCTGAGCTGTACTTGCTAATTCTGTACCCAAACTTGCATTCAATGATTATTTGCTTCAGGAAGGGTCTTGATGCCAGAAGGACCAAGGTCCCAAAATCTGGCTTTGTGTGTGACAGAATTCAAGAGCAAGACATTTAGAGAAAGGGACAAAGATTTATTAAGTATAGAAATAAGAAAGCGACTTCACAGAGTAGTGGTCTCTCTGAGGTAGGAAAGAATGTTAGGGTTTGAAGCTGAAAGCCAAGAATTCTTGAGACGTCTTTGGTGCAAAAAGGTGGTTTTATTAAAGCACAGGGACAGGACCTGGGGGTAGAAAGAGCTGCACGGGGGTCAAGAGGAGTGGCCCATTATATACTTTCAAGTTGGGAGGGGGTTAGGGATAGCGTAAGTCTCTAAGGAATTTTGGAAGCAAGGTTTCTAGGTCCTTGAGCAGGCTAGCTATTGTTGGGAAAAGGTCATTTATTACCATCTAATAAAACCTTAGTCCTGAGACCCTTCAGATGTATATCGGTGGGCCATATGCTTGGGGGATGGTTACCAACATGTATCTTGGGGGGTTTAGAGATAAAGGACGCTTCAAAGGAATTTTTATATGTTAAAGTAGACTTACAGGATCTTGGCAGGGAGGGGGCGGTTTGGGCTAAGCTTGCCTTTTGCTCTTAGCGAAGTGTTAACACTGAGCCTCTGAATCCCTAGAGGAAGATCACTAGGCCTGTTTCAAGGACTTGTTGGTGGGCTGTAGGTAGTAAGGAAATTTAATAATTTGTCTTCTGCCTTTTTTTCCCACATCATCTCCTCCCAGATGGGGGAAGAGGACCCCCGTTTGCCTCTAATGAAGGGTTTTATAAGTTTTTTTAATTAGCTAACCATATAGGGAGGGGCTTACTCTTCAACTTTGGGCTTATTACTTACATTGGACAGTTCATTTTCCCATTGTCTTGGTGATGTGGTTTTGGAATATAGGTGAGGTTCGGAGGGATGAGGTCTGGAGCCAATGGCCAAGAAAGAATTCTTGAGATGTCTTTGGTACAAAATGGTGGTTTTATTAAAGCACAGGAACAGGACCCCTGGGCAGAAAGAACTGCATTGTAAGTGTGAGGAGTGACTGATTCTATACTTGGGAGTTGAGGGAGGTGAGGAAAACGGACGTTTTCAAAAGAAGTTTCATATGCTAAAGAGGACTTACAAGATACCAGAGGCTTTGCCATTGTCAAGTTAAGGTTGTTTTTCTCTCTAGCAAGGCATTAACATAAAGAGAATTGGGAGCATCCTGGAAGAATGTCACAAATGTTCCACCCAGGAGTGGGTTGGGGGGGGGGGGGAGAGGTTGTAGGGCGAGGTTGCAGGGTGTTAGCCTGGCTTTGTCTTTAGCTAGCCTTTTGCTCCCTCATCATTGGGGTTGTGGAATTACCCACAAAGAACAATTTTAAGAACCTTCAGCCTTTGTGGCTTTTACTGCCAGAGGGAGTGGGGTCTGGTGGTATTCCGTGAGTTAGATCTTGTGATTCTTTTTATGACCTGCTTTTTTTTTTTTCTTTTTTTCTTTATGACCTGACTTTAGGTTAAGGGTCAGCCTAAAACCAAAATGGCTTTAATTAATTCAGTCAACTTGCCCGAGCCTCCCTTCCTTCCTGCCTCAGTGTATTTTATTATTATTTTTATTATTATTTTTTAAAGATTTTATTTATTTGACAGAGAGAGACACAGCGAGAGAGGGAACACAAGCAGGGGGAGTGGGAGAGGGAGAAGCAGGCTTCCCACCAAGCAGGGAGCCCGATGCGGGGCTCTATCCCAGGGCCCTGGGACCATGACCTGAGCTGAAGGCAGATGCTTAATGACTGGGCCACCCAGGCGCCCATGCCTCAGTGTATATTTAAAATGCACCCTAACCTGTTAAGAATAAAATACAGCTACCTTGTGGTTATCTTAATAAATTAGGAATAGTAGAAATTCCTTGCTTATTGAAATTGAAAGTTCATCAGTAAGAACTGTGCAAAGAAACTTAATGTACCAAGCAGTCACCGTGATTTTATTATAACCGTCATTTCTGGGCGCCTGGGTGGCTCAGTTGGTTAAGCGACTGCCTTCGGCTCAGGTCATGATCCTGGAGTCCCAGGATCGAGTCCTGCATCGGGCTCCCTGCTCGGCAGGGAGTCTGCTTTTCCCTCTCCCACTCCCCGTTTGTGTTCCCTCTCTCGCTGTGTCTTTCTCTGTCAAATAAATAAATAAAATCTTAAAAAAAAAAAATCGCCATTTCTTTTCTAAATGTGATTGCATTGTGGTGTGGTGTTTATTTGAAAATACAAAGGTTTGCTTGACTGAGAAAGACAAATACCACATGATTTCAGTCATTTGTAGAACCTAAAAAAACAAAGTAAACAAAAAGCAGAATGAGACCTATAAATACAGAGAACAAACTGACAGTTTCCAGAGCGGAGGGGAGAAGGAGTAGGGCAGATGGGTGAAGGGGAGTGGGAGACAAGGGCTTCTAGTTATGGAATGAAAAAGTCACAGGAATATCGTCAAGGTTACTGCAATAGAACTATATGGTGACGATGGTCGATACACTTGTGAGCACAGAATAACGTATATAGATGTTGAATCACTGTGTTGTACACCTGAAACTAATGTAACATGTGTGCCAACTATACTCAAATTATAAAAAATTAGAAATTTTTTTGAAAAGCACAGGCCTGGGGGCTCAGTCAGCTAAACGTCTGCCTTCAGCTCAGGTCATGATCTCAGGGTCCTGGTATCCAGTCCCAAGTAGGGCTCCCTGCTCAGCAGGAAGCCTGCTTCTCCCTCTCCCTCTGCCCCTCCCCTTGTTTGTGCTCTCTCTGTCAAATAAATAGGTAAAATCCTTAAAAAAGAAAAAAAAAGGAAAAAAAAAATCACAGGCCTGCATGTTAGTTGTAAATACTTGGAAGTGGGGAGAAGGGGGTGATGTGGCCAACTGGACTTAGATTCTAGAGTTGGAAAGACCAGTCCTGAAGCATAGAGATAGCTAAGCTGAGAAGATATTTAACTACCAAAGTCTCAAGTTCTTTGCAGGTAAAATAGGGAATAATAATGTATATCTCATGGTTTTATAGTATAGATGAAATAAAATGATTTAAAATGCCTGTAAAAATTTAAAAATACAAAGATTTAGAATCTCACAACACATAATTGAGTAAAAGAATTCAGAGAGAAAGGAGAATGTATGGTGTGATCCCATCAACATAAAGTTAAAAAATAGGCATAACTAGGGATGCCTGGGTGGCTGTTGGTTAAGTGTCTGCCTTCTGCTCAGGTCATGATCCTGGAGTCCCGGGATAGAGCCCTGCATCCAGAGTCTGCTTCTTCCTCCGACCCTCACCCCACTCGTGTTCTCTCTCTCACTCTTTCTCAAATAAATAAAATCTTTAAAAAAATGCTTGATACATGATACTTATAATATCTTTGGTAAAAATAAGAATAACCAAACAATGAAAATAATAATATAAAACTTACATATCTAGTATAATGAATAAGGTGTATGTAGCCTTGTATAAATTCACTGAGACTCTCCTGCTTATCATTCCTGTTCCAAATATTCCATTATGAAATAATTCTCAAACTGGCATTCTAAAAAATCTCTGAAGTAGAAGCCATAGAGCCAGGCTAATAGATTATACACCCAGCTTCATTAAAAAAATAAATAAAAAATAAAAAAACAAAAACAAAAAAACCACCACCAACATTCTAAACAACTATTTCCCTATTTAAATGCTTCAATGTTAAGAAAACTTAAATGTAGATCATAAGTACCTAAAACTAGGAACAAATCTGGCTAATTGGGATATAGAATGATTAAAAAGGAACCTGGATTAGTGTTCTAACCTTCTCTAATTATGATATGGCATCAACTAATTAGGATCTCTTTATACAGCTCTAGAGTTACTGACTAAGAGCTCTTAACTTTTCTCTCACTGTCATTTGAGATCTTTTCGTGCATTATTTTATTTTTTCCCCTTCTGGAAATAGGTTAGATCAAAACGACTATCACATGCTTTGCCTGTTACACAAGACAATGGCTAGGTAAACAGTCAGTCCCATCCTTAAACCAATTTGGATCACAGCCCAGAGTTGAACCCATTAGACATGCCAATCAAAACACTTAATTCACCAGGCTGGACTGGGTTATAACAGAGTCTGTGTCCTTCCTATTCACAGTTGGGTAGTTATTATCATTCTAATAACAACCACTCATCCCTGTGGACACAAAGCCTGTTAATCTACATAATGATACCCAGAACAATAGACTTATAGGAGGGTTGTATTGTGTTACTACAAAAGAACATCAGTCTACAAACAGAAATAAGCCCTTGAATATAGGTTGGTTTTTTTCCTGCTTATTTATACCCTGTGTTTTTTTCCCTCCTAGGCTACTGACAAAGATACTGGCAATTACAGTGCCATGGCTTACCGACTCATCATTCCACCCATTAAAGAGGGAAAAGAAGGATTTGTGGTGGAAACGTATACGGGGCTCATCAAAACTGCTATGCTCTTCCACAACATGAGAAGGTCCTACTTCAAATTCCAAGTCATCGCAACTGACAACTATGGGCAGGGACTGAGTGGCAAAGCGGATGTTCTGGTAAGTAGATAGACATCCGGATTAGGGGAGGCACGTGCACCTGCTAGTCTGTGGCCAGTGTTTCCAACTCACGGAACTTTTACATTTATTCGAAATAGGTTTTCTAAAACATAAATGTGATTACTTTCCATCCAGATTGTTAGTAGCCACTGGTTTGGGATATGAAAGGTATAGCTTTAAGGCTGTGTATTTTTTGACATTTGGGAAATACATCATAATATGTTTTCATATATGGCTGCGACAATATTTCCACAAGTGTTGGATTTCCATTTGGTCTGTAGATTGCATTTTTTTTTAAAGATTTTATTTATTTATTTGATAGAGATAGCCACAGCAGGAACACAAGCCGGGGGAGTGAGAGAGGGAGAAGCAGGCTTCCCACCGAGCAAGGAGACCGATGTGGGGCTCGATCCCAGGACCCTGGGATCATGACCTGAGCTGAAGGCAGATGCTTAATGACTGAGCCACCCAGGTGCCCCTGTAGATTGCATTTTTAGTATAGAATTGGCTGGAGCCAGTTTTAAAATGCTTCGCCATATGCTGTAGAAATTAAAATGGATGGAATTTTTATTACTGTTTAAATTCCTTTCAGACCTTTTGTAATTAAGAAAATGAAAGGAAATGTTTTGGAGCAAATTTATGTTCCAATAGATGTAATTTCCTTCTTTTACCAAGATCCCCAGTGATGGCATCGATGATCCTTGACTCAGTTATATTTGGCTTCAGTCGAGAATACCACTTTCCTCTTCTTTGTGTGAGGTGGCACACAATCTCCCTGGTAGAGTATTCCCAAGGGCAGTTTGATATTACTGTTTGTTCAAAATATTCAACACCAATGCTTCTGTACTATGGAATTTCTGCCAACTTGGAAGCGTGGATTGTTTGGACTTTGATGAATCTAGTAAACATTATAATTTATAATTATTACTGGAAATACTTGTCACAGGAAGACAGAATCAAGTATAATTTTTCTTTTGCTGTTTACATCTTATTAGGTCTTCATTTTCACAGTTCCCTGCAGTTCTCTGAACGAGTTTAACCTTCTCATATATGTAGACATCACAGATCACATTTTTCTGCTAAATCATGAAGACCAACCACCATGACTGTGGTGGGCATGAAGGCCAGGATGTCCTCAGTTAGAGCCAGAAAGCTGCACTAGAATAAACAAAGGCTGATCTAAGCCAAGAAGCTTTTGACAGAAGACTTTAAAGTTGACATAAGTCTTTAATCGAGTTAAGATCTATAAACCTGATGTCCATAATGTTGCTATTTCCCTTCCTGTTATTTCAGGACTACACAATGCGGTGCCATCAGGATAGACAGCAAAGTCACTACACTAAGGATAATTAAAATACTACAATAACAGGGACACCTGGGTGGCTCAGTTGGTTAAACGTCTGCCTTTGGCTCAGGTCATGATCTCAGGGTCCTGGGATGGAGCCCTGCATTGGGCCCCAGCTCAGCGGGAAGCCTGCTTCTCCCCCTGCTTCTCCCCACTGTTCATGCTCGTTCACTCTCTCTCAAATAAATAAATAAAATCTTAAAAAGAAATACCACAATAACATAGGTAAGATATAACTATATAAATTATCTATGTAGTATGTACATGAGCAATGTGAAGTTTATGGGTTTCTCATTTGGATTCTGTAAACTGTTGTGTGGAAATTTAAAAGTATACCTTTAAAATTACCCAAAATAAATGTAGGAAGAGTTATTTCAAGGTAATCATAATGTGATATACTTATAAACCATTTATACACACACACACACACACACATACATATATGGAAAACTTCCCAGCAAAACAATCTTTATGGTAAGTCAAGAGAAGGGAGATGTGGGGAGAAATAAGACTTTGATGTAGAGGTTCTTTCTGAGAAGTTAAGTCATTGCAGAAGATGACCTTCTGAAGTCAGAAGGCCTTCAATGACCTCATTTCTACTATCTTCCATCTAACTCATTCAGACCCAGTAATATTGGCCAATTTGCTGATTTCCAAACAGCCAGATATGTCCTCACTTTAGAGATTTTGTAGTACTGCTGTCTAGAATGTTCTTTCCCCAGATGTGTTCATGACTAGCTCCCTCATCTCATCCAAGTATTTGCAAGGATGTATTTCACAGGGAAGCCCACTCCGACCATCCAGTTTAGCATTGCATCCCTACCGTGTCACTTCCACCTCTTTACTACTTGCTCTTTACAGTGGACTTACCATATTCATGTTCGTATTTTCCCATGAAAACTCCGTGACGAGAGTTTTTTGTTTTATTTTATTCCCTGGGGTATCTCAAGTGCCCAGAATAATTCCTGACATACAGCGGGCACTCAATGCCTATTCAGTGGATGAATGGCCTCTCTCTTACAGTGTAGGTTAGCGGCTCTCGACGTGTGGACCATGGAACACTGAGGATCCCCCAAATCATTTCAGGGTTCAGTAGGGTCAGACCTTTTTTAGTGAGAATGTTAGGGCATTGTTTGACTTTTTACGATACTGTATTTGAATCATTGTATCCTTCATAGCCATACACAAAGAGAAAGGGGGGAAAAAAAGCCTGAAGACTGCCCTCACTCATAAGCAGTAAAACTTAGTAGTTTTAACAAATCTCCACTCTTGACTAAACACGTTTTCAATATTTTCTGAAATGAAATGGGAAGTATGCAAAAAGCATTTCTGCTGTGAAAGGAAGTATAATGGTAGTCTCAAGGAAAAGCTCTGTGAAAGCTGAATTTGCTGGGGTTTTTTTTAAGGAATAGCTTTTTATTTGAAAAAAATGAGATAAAATATGGTTATTTAAACTTGAATATTTGCTAGACATTTACACAAAAATGAACAAAGTGAGACAGCCAATTTAAGGAAAACAACTGACAGTATTTGCTGCTAATGATAACATCTAAAAGCACAAATTAGAATATTGGAAACTTGTATTCACTCACCACTGTGATCTTGACAGCTTCCCATTATTTAAAGACCATGAGATCAGTGGTCATTGTAAAGAATGTGATTTTTTTCTTGATATTGTATAATGTAATGTGTCAGTATTTGACAAATCTGTGTTATTCAATGAACCAATATTTTTCAAATGACCAATGCATGATGTGAAAACATCACTGTGGGTAAAGACCCATTCAAAGTGCAAGACAGAGAAATGGGTTTTAACGTAATTAAACCCAATTTTCAATTTCATATCAAAATTAATCTCCGACTCCTGCTTGAGTTTGGGTGTGGTATCAAAGACTGTACAGAGCTATCTAAAAAAGATTATTAAGCTGTTCTTCCTTTTCAAGAGAAGTGAGATTGCACCAGAGGCCGGTCAGGAGAGACAGTGACCAGTCTAAGCAAGAGATGGTGAGAGTGTCTAGAACTTTGCCGCCCAGAGTGTGAGTTATTTGTCCTCTGTGGCTACTGAGCACTTGCTTTTGTGACTTTGTCACACTGAGATGTATCATAAGCATAAAATGCACACTGGGTTTCAAAGACTTGGTATAAAAAAATGCAAAATGTCTCCTTAATAAGTAGTTTGGTATTTATTTGTGAGAATGATAATATATTAATATATTGGGTTAAGTGTATTATTAAATGACCTTGACTATTTTTTTTATCTTTCTATTGTGGATACCAGAACATTTAAAATTACGTGTCTGGCATGTATGTGTGGCTTACATTAATTTTTTTATTGGACAGCACTGTCTAAACTATGTGGGAATGAGTGGAAAGGAAGAAAAAAGGAAAGCTAAGAAATTTATGAAGAAGGATTGAAAGGACTTAGAAATAATAGAATATGTAAAATAGGAAGCTCTCTGGTTTTAGAACGTTGTGCTTCACAAATGTTACTTTTCCTTCTTTAGACTGTCGCTTGTCCCTTTGATCCGTTACAGAGATTGATCCCCAAATCATAGAAATATGTTTTTAAAAAGTCTTTATAAGTAGAATTTTATAAGCACAATTGTTATGGTTGGTATAATAAACTGATGTGTAGTTACAGAAATATTTGCATAAAGATTGTACTAGAAAAGTAACAAAATCTAGGAATCTTAAACATTTAAATACCTTTATTATAGATGATAGATGAAGCCAAGATTCAGGAATGTAGCATTTCTTTGAAAGATCAAAATTTAAACTATATTAGCTTATTTTCTTGGTCGGCATAGTGAAAAATGTATGTGTTCTCCATAAATCATAATTATACTTTAAGGAGATTTAAAACTTCTAAAATAACTATTTATAGGTTCGTCTGAGACAAATACTTTTGGAGTTACATGCAATCTGAATTTTGTTACTTTATCAGAATTATAACTACATTATTTTTTATCTTAATACAAAAGTATGTGTTCAAAAGTTAAGATCAAAAAATCTTTTTGGTAAATTGTAAGCTTAATATGTATATATTCTGGAGGAAGTTAAATCTTTTTTTTTAAGATTTTATTTATTTATTGGACAGAGAGAGAGCACAAGCAGAGGGGAGAGGGAGACTCCCTGCTGACCAGGTAGCCTAACACTTGGGCTCAATCCCAGGACCTTGGGATCATGACCTAAGCCAAGGCAGATGCTTAACTGATTGAACCACCCAAGCGCTCCTGGAGGATCTTAAATCTTAATTCATTTTGTTAGTTCAGTCAGAATTTAACCCCAAAACTCATTAGCAAATTAAAAATTCCCTTGAGTAAGTACTTTATCCTTCTGTATAAAGAGAAATTACCAGCTGTCCTTAAAAGGCAAATGATAGAGTTATTACTATTGTCAAGGCAAAATTTTGTTCCCAAATAGAGTCCCTAGCACATGAATTGATTTTTTTCCGAAAGATTACTTGTAAATGAGCTTCTGAAAGTTCAAAACATAATTATAGGAAAGGAAATCCTACCACTTCCCTGCACCCGCATATAACATTCTAGTTTTTTGTTGCCCTACAACTACTAAGAATCTAACACTCATACATAATAGAGCCCTGGGTGGTGTTTGTCATGGTAGGCTGATTTTGTAACACAAAATTCCAAAACATTTCAGGGGCTTAACCTAACAAATTTTATTTTTCTCTCTTGGGCCACACCAAGAGTGTACATGGTTGGTTGGTATTCTTGACAGCATTCCAGAAAATGGAGATTTAGGGACTCAAGCTCCTTCCACCTTTTGTCTTTGACCTTCTTTAGAGTTTCTTTATTCAGACTGAGACTGTGAAAGAAAGGGAACCCATAAAAAAAGACAAAGTTACTCAAAAAGTGTGTTAATCCCTTTTTCTAATGAAGTCAGTTTTGTTTTGTTTTGTTTTGTTTTGTTTTGTTTTGTTTTGTTTTGTTGTGGTAAAGCCACAATCAGGAACCATGCCCATGTTTGTGGGAAATTTGGACATATGGTCCCAGTTGCCGATAATGAGTTAGCGGTACAGGATTGGAACTGCTGGTGTGAACTGTTTGCTCATAGGTGGTAATCAGACCCCTGACTTAATATAGTCTGTACACATGAATTATGAGACTTACACATGGTTTGAAAGATTTCCACTTAGTTGAGATATTTCATATAATATTTTGGATTTCTTCTCTTGAAAAATAGAAAGATCCAGCAAATCTGGACCTTTTCTCCCACATGGCAATATTCATTAGGGATAAAAAACCTCTTTATTAGTTTTCTTATTTAAAAAGTGGAATGGGGGTCTCCTGGGTGGCTCAGTCAGTCGAACATCCAACTGTTGATTTCAGCTCAGGTCATAATCTCAGGGTCATGGGATGGAGCCTTTGCATCAGGCTCCTTGCTCAGTGTGGAGTCTGCTTGAGATTCTCTCCCTCTCCCTATGCCCGTCTTCTGCTTACTCGCTCTCTCTTTCTAAAATAAGTAAGTGAATCTTCAAATAAATAAATAAAAATAAAAAGTGGAATGATAGTCATAACTACCTGATATGGTCATATTTGGAATTAAATGAGTGAAAACCTATGGAGTATTGTGGGAAAACAGTAAATGATTGGTCATACACACTATCTATTACATAAATACTGCTTTTTTAATTTTTCTAAATAAGATCGCAGAAGGAATTCCATAAATGTTAGCAGAATAGAAATGATTTGTAAAAAGCTGCTACATTAGCTCATTTTAGTCCCATACGTAAATATGTATATATCTGTCTCTTTATTCCCACAAACATGGAATTGGCTCAAGCGGACACGAAGACTATATATGACGATCTCATAGAATGAATTATTTGAGCCGGTCGTATCTCAGCTTCTTAGTCACACTGGATAAGTGATCTCTCGAGATTTGTAAAACCTGTGTTTTCCATTATCCTGAGTGTTCTTCAATAACCCAATTAGAAAAATAAACACACCTTCTTTCATACCTTAGAAAATGACCAACAAAACAAACACAAACCAACCACACTGGACGTCCAAGTAAGTTAGACTTACTTCTAAGTAAATAGTGATAGTGCATCAGTCTCCACCTGCCCTAACATCTAGTGGTGCTTGTGTACCTGAAGATACCATTCATTCCTGCGTTACAAATGGGAAACCACTGGTTCCACGCGTCCATGTACAGTAGGGAAGTAATGGAAGCATTGTGTTTTGGTTATAGAAGTGCTGGGGAGAAATCAGAGAGGGAGAAGAACCATGAGAGACTCTGGACCCAGGGAAACAAGCTGAGGGTTTCAGAGGGGAGGGGGTTGGGGAGAGGGGGTAGCCGGTTGATGGGTATTAAGGAGGGCACGTGATATGATGAGAGCACTGGGTGTTACATGCAACTGGTGAATCATTGAACACTATATCAAAAACTAATGATGTACTATACAGTGGCTAACTGAACAAAATTTAGAAAAGAAAAAAGTGCTGGTGAGTTCTGAACAGGCTCTGGTTTCCTCCCTGCAGGTTTCCGTGGTCAATCAGCTGGACATGCAGGTCATTGTTTCCAATGTGCCCCCAACTCTGGTGGAAAAGAAGATAGAAGATCTCACAGAGTAATGGATTTTTGTTTACTTACATATTTATTTTCAGTTGGCTATAATTTTATTGAATGAGGTCCTTTTAATCATTACAGGGTTCAGATTGAACATATATTATAAAATACCATCTTAATAATTCAGGTTACCCTTTTCCTGAAACAGATAGCTTCATCTAATGTACGCCGAGCTTCTGAGAGTGCCTGCGAATAGGTATGGAAATGAGATGTGATAAGATCTTACTCAGGATACTTTGACTGATGCATCAACATAACCTCAAAACACTGCATATAAGAAACAAATCCTAACATTCATTATTAGAGCATATATCTTGATTTTGTGGCCCCAAATTATTCAAAAACCTCATCTCAGTGATCCAGCTAGTCCAGGGAATGCTATTTCTCAAAGTGATGTATCTAGGTGGCTCACACTTATTCTTTCAAAAACCCTGAAGACTAATTTTAAACAATACATATTTGGATTCTTCTAGAATAAATGCCACATTGTACCTTTTGATCGCTGTACACTGAACACGTCACTTTTGACTCAGAAAAAGTTGTGACTATTTTTGTGAAGCTGCAGTCCTCTAATAATATTCTGAATGCTATCGAGGATTATTACAATGCCTTTCTAGTTCACTCTGAGCGACCCAAACCTAGCCTGATGTCATTTCATAATTTTCATATGGGCACATACTTGTTATTCTGTGTCTTCCCTTGAGTTCAGGCTGACAGATGTCAATTATCACTGCTTCTCTCTAGCAAAGTATCCCTCACTTCCAAGTTGCCAGAAGAAGCTTCAGATAACAGCTAAACTTTCTGTAATTATGTGTCAAATACAGTAGGAAAAGCACAGATGGAATTCTGAGTGCTTCTCCGATAATGAAAACATGTGTGCTCTGTAACAATTATTTCTTGCAGTTTCACAAACTTAACTTTTGCGTGTCATGTACAATGTCCTATGGAGAAGGTGATTCTCAGTGTGCTCAACGTGTATGCTTGGAATATCAGTCATGCAGTGTCGGATTTACTTCTGCAAAAGGGGTTTATACACATTTAGCCTTTGTGAAAATAATAGCTGATTACACATGAGAAAATCCGGAATCATGCCTCTCTCTTAGCTGCTTTCATGTTCTCTATGGAAGCAGGCTTTCTCTGATTGTACCATCCAGAAGATGGTAGAACCATCTTCAACCTCTAGCCCTTCATTATGCTTTATTTTTCTTCAGAGAAAAATAAATACTATTTTCATTGCATGTCAATTTCCCATCAAAGCATAAGCCCCGTGAGGATAGGAAACCTATCTTCCATTACTATAATTCCAGGCATATAGTGGGCACCCGATGCATATTATTGAATGAAAATTTTATACAAGCAAAATCATGATTCCTCTTTCTCATAGTGAGACATCATTTATTAACACTGAAAAGAAAATGACAAGAAAGAAGTATAACTTCATAGCAGTTTATAGTATTTTTTTTTTCCCCTTAAATGGCAATGAAGATCCGAATGAGAAAAAACAGGCACCTTTCAAGTCTTGAGAGAAAAGTATTCCTGTGAAAGGAGCTTAGAGTTCTGTAACATTGGTTTAGAAACACGAGCTGGGGCAAATCAGTTCACCCTCCCCAGACTGCCTCACCATTTCTAGTCATCTGTTCACAGAAACTAATAAAGCTAATATCATGGGGTTGCTGGCTAGAACTAAACAATATCGGCCATGTAGGACAATGGGGATTGTGACTCTTCCAGGGATAACAGATATTCTAAGAAATGAGGTTAGTGACCCAGTCAGGAGGGTAAAGACAGAGTCCCCAGTTTTTCCATTCTTTCCAAAGAAGGTTGTTTAGTATGGAGCTCAGATGATGGATTCAAACAGAAGTTTGAATCTTATTGTAGCCCTGTGACCTTCAGGCAGGAGATTTCACACGTAGGGCTACGCCTCCTCATCTTGAAAATTGGAACAAGAAGGCCAATCCTCTATTGCTTTTTTGGTTTTTTGTTTTGTTTTTTTTTTTAAGATGTTATTTATTTGAGAGAGAGGGAGGGAGAGAGTGCATGTGCACACAAGTGAGGGGAGGGGCAGATGGAGAGGAGGAAGCAGACTCCCTGCACAGCAGGGAGCCCAGTGGAGAAGATCCCAGGATGCTGAGATCATGACCTGAGCTGAAGGCAGACACTTAACTAACTGACCCATCCAGGCGCCCCATGTTGCTTTTTTGAAAGAATTAAATAGAAATTTGCTTGTGCAGTAAGCATAGCGGCACATGCCTGATTCCTTATTGTAGATTTTTAAAAATCTGTGTTAAATTAGAGATTCTTAAGCATAAAAATTTCTGATCCCTTTGAAAAATAGACTTCATTTTTTATTTTATTTTATTATTTTTTTTAAATGTTGCCATATTTTTTTTTAAGACTTCATTTTTTAGAGTAACTTTATATTCACAGCAAAATGAAGCAGAAGAATTCCCATATGCCCCCTTCCCCCACACACATGGCTTCGCTCCCTATCAACATCTCCCACCAGACTGGTACATTTGTTACAACCAGCAAACCTACACCGGCACATCAGAATCACCCCAAATTCATAGTTGACACAGGTTTACTCTCGGTGGCGTACATTCTGTGGGGTGAAACTAAAGTGTAATGACATCTGTCTATCACGGTAGTATCAATACAGAATGGATCCACTGCTCTAAAATCCTCTGTCTGCACCCCCTTTCCATTCTTCCCCTGGCAACCACTGATCTTTTACTGGCTCCATAGGTTTGCCTTTTCCAGAACGTCATGTGGCTGGAATCATGTGGTGCGTAGCTTTTCTGATCCCTTTCTGAGCGCTGCTAGTGGTAGTGATAAGGACTGTTAGATCTGATTCGGCTCGAGTCAGCGCCAAACACTCCCTGAGCATCCGGGGGAAGAGTGGAGATACATACCGAACCGCGTAGACAACGGAATGATGGTTACAGGAATCTGAGAAGTATAAATAAGCAATTCTTCTTCTATCTGGAGAGGATAATGCTTTACATCAGGACTTGGCAAGTTAAAGCACACAGGCGACATTCAGGCTATTATCTCTTTTTGGAAATAAGTTTTACTTACACAAGGATTGTCGTGAAAATCAGTAACTTAAAAATATTGTTTTTTTTTTTAATTTTAAGTTACTGTTAATATTTAAAAATTATAATGGAAAGAAATAATGTAGTAAAACAATTTAAATAGCATAAACATTATAAAAATGTTTTAAAATGTTATTAGTCTATTAAATTAATATTTATAAGATTCATATCTGTCCCTCTATAGATAGTGTCCTGACCCGCAACCCCCAGCTCTAAGTAAGGAGAGGGTAAGAATTATCAAATAATGTAAGGATGTTAAATAAACATAGGAGTTCATTGCCCCAGTGGCCAGGCTCACCAGCTCACACATTTCCTGTAGACATTCTCTGATCGCAAGTCACACCATCACTAAAGCCATTTTCTATATCTCCCACGAGACATCCTCACCCTATAAGTGGGAAAACTTGAATTCCATACGATCATCACTTTTATTTCTTCCTTTAGGCAGACTCATAAATGAGGCCAGATCATAATCCATAGTTTTCTCGGTAAGCATGAAATCAGTGCAAACTGGGAGGGTTGATAAAAGAAAAATGTAATGACCGAAGACATTCATTTCATGACGGGGAAGGTTTTGCAGAGGGCGGACAGTATCCTTTGATGGCAAAGAACACAATGCCTTGAAAATAGAAAGCTCCTTTAAAGGGGCATTGCCACAGTGATGGGAATGATCATTCCCCATGCCCCTGAAACTGACGTAAATGCTGTAATGAAAATTGTTTTATGACTTTTGTCATTTGGAGCTTATAGAATTAACCAATGCTCCTTTCTGGTGAAACACATTTCTTTTAAATTTTATTAATGTATTCAGCAAATTCCAGTGAGAATCTGGGCCCACAGGTGGCCTTTCGTGTTTGTGTTCTGAAGTATTTTAGGTGGAATTTATGATTTATCTCTTCGTGGGCCCTGTGTTTCTCTTACAAATTTTGCAAATAAGCAGTGGGATAAATGGCTGGGAGGATAAGGGTACAGAAACTCAACTTACCAGCAAAGCCGTGGCAAGGGTGTCTCCAGAGGAAGGTAGGAGACGTTTGCATCTGTGTCTCCATTCTCCTCTACTTCACCATGGAGCCCAAAGAAGCAAAAGAAGCTTGGGATTCTAAGATTTAAATCTTGAAGAATTGGCAGAAATGGCATTTTTGAAAAGTATACATGAAGGAGTTTTTAGCAGTCCTACCTTACAGCAGGAATTAGAATCGATCATCAAGGTCATGGAGTTGCTCAAACACTTCTCTTACTTTAAATACAATATGGAAATTCAGTGATAGTAGGACTTTACTGAAGTAGGTATTGATTGGTGGAGAAGGACCCATCTCCATTAAATATTGATACAGCATCTGAAATGTGCCTGCATAACTAACTGATGGATTAAGGTTACAAAACATACTTCAGAAATCAGGCCAGGATACATATTTCTAGGAGGAGAATTGTGAAGTCTCTTGGGAAGAGAACTATGAAATGGTAAACAATAAATACTAGCACTTATATTTTCTTAAATCAGTGGAATAAAGACTGGTCTTGAGGGGAAAGGTCAGATGGAAAGGTAAATCAATAAACACCTTAGCTTTGATCATTCTTACCCTCTCCTTACTCAGAGCTGGGGGTGGGCAGTCAGGACACCACCTCTAAAGGGACAGATATGAATCTTATAAATACTAATGTTAATAGACTAATAATACATTTTAAGACAATTTTTATAATGTCTATAATGTTATTTAAGTTGTTTTAGTACATTATTTCTATTATAATTTTTAAAAGTTAACCGTAATTTAAAATTTAAAAATAATACTTTTAAATTACTGATTTTAATGACAATACTTATGTAACTAAAAGTTTATCTCCAAAAAAAGAAAATAGCCTGAATTGAGCCCTGTGTGTTTTAACTTGCCAAGTCCTAATTTAGAGT